TAAGCCATTACACCTACATTGGCTTAAATCTTTACATTCCTATTATGTACTACACTGAAAAGAATGTGGAACATGAAAGATGCAGATTATGCAAGACGGTGGTTTCATCAATTTTCGTTGGTATCATTTTTCATGGATTAGTAAAACAGACATCAATATTTGAGGATACATTATTTATTGGACAAAATCATTGCCTGTACATATGAATACCAAATTTTTTAATTCAATGAACATTGAATTTCGTGGATCTGCTTGAAATCCTCAAGGAATATCGATGAAACCACAGTACTTAAATTTTCTTAAAATCAACAAAATACAGTGGACCTTCAGATATCCAGATGATTCAGTATCTAGATGACTTTTCACATGAACAGAATCTTTAAATGTTATTTTGTCTTGTTTAACTGGTAATTCAGATATCAGGATGCTTCATATATCTGGACAAATTGACTAGGAACCAAAGCGTCCTGATAACTGAGACACCACTGTATGCATCTATGGTGAAATCAAAATCCGGTGACAATTTATCCCTTTTTCCTCAGCAAAAATTTACTAAATTTAGTAGGGTGCGAAGACTGAATGGATACATGTATAAAGAAACTTTAATTCTTTTTTATTTTTTTTCATTTTTGATGCATATGAATTAAGCTAATTTATACCTGGGGAGGCCTCTGGAGCAGTTCTCGTGGCTTTTAACATGTAGTTTCTCCAAGCATGGAACTTCTCACTCTCAGGGTGGTTATCGGAGTATACAGAGTTGAAGATTTCAGCAAAAGCTTGATGAGATACAAAGCCATGATTGCTACAAAAAGAAAAAACATGAAGTAAAAGAATTGTCATGATGTCACATGAAATTTTTTTTATTAGGAATACAAAAAAAAAAATGTGAAGAAGTTACAGGGGCATTAAGGTCAAGGCTAAAGGCCATCTTTAAGAGAAATTGTTTGGTTGCCCTTACCCGGAAAACTGGCTTAAAATGGTCTAACTTTAAACATTTTCAACCTCCATGAGGTTCTTTACCCTTTTTATTTCTAATTTTTTAAATTCTGTCAGAATATATGTTGAAAATTTTTGAGAAATAAAAATACATGTATGAACCATGTATGAAATGCAATTAAGAAGGGGAAAAATTATGGAGGACAGACTAAATCTTTATTTTTAATATAAACATACAGAGTTTTTAAGTGACATAGCACCTTGTTTTGTCATCAGTTGAGAAAATTTTGGCCTAGTATTCATTAATATACTTTTTCCTGGTGTCTAAACATTGCAGTACATTCAAGTATAAAATGGAATTCTTCAGCAACATGTTTAGCATTACAAAGTGTTTACTGTTATACATGCCCATTTTCCCAGTCAACTGGTAGCGGTGATTAGTAGTACGGAATATGGCAAGTATTTTTGTTTATTTCAATGGCAAAAAACTTAAATGATTTTCACACTTAGAATTTGTTTTAAAAATTTTATACAAAATACCTTTAGAATAACTATTAATATCAGATTCAGAATGCCATTTTTGTATAAACTGATCTTGTAAACTTTGTTCGAGGGTCATTGATACTCTGATTAGAGAGATAGCTCTTAATGCCATCAATGTCTATTATTCCATTAAAGATTTGCCAAGAAGAAGAGTCTTTTTTTGTTCAATTTTGCCTTGCAAGCTATGCTATATTTGTCAGAATTCTTCTTGTAAAATACATTTTTTTTTAGGAATAGTGAGATCTAGGTTCTGGAAACATTTTATGAAAGTAAGCAGAGGATTTATGAACGTTAACAACAGTAGTAACCCAGTTGTGATTAGGATTATATTTAAACAATGTTTAATCCAAGTAGGAGACGGTCTACAGGAGTCAAAAATACGATGATCACAGTCAATCCAAGGATTCTTAGCAAATTTAGATTGAGAGTTAGCAATGTAATATTGATATAATATACATGAAATTTTCTTATCTGTGCTATTCAATAATTTAATCTAGATCTAGTAAGAGACTATTCTTGAAAAAAGAAAGACAGATACTGAGATAGTGGGAAAATCATGTTTCATCATAAACCATGATATATCATTCATTTGGGGTACAGTGAGTACTTTTCAAGTGTAGACAATGTTTCAAAAAATTTAATGAACATGTTAAATAATATTTTGGTTTTGAAAACTTGATGTAGATTGCAGAACCATTAAGTAAAACCATTTTATCAAACCGATCAAGTCGACATTCTACAGGGAGGTTAAATTGTCTTATTTTTCTGATATCCCAATACATTGCATTTTGGGGCTTTTTCAGGTCTCATAGTGCAAGCAAGCATTATTTTAAAGATGGTCTGATTGAGTTCACCTTTTCTTCTGGTATGAAATACACTATTATAACAATAACTACCTTGATTCGCAAAGGAACTCGTGCAGGTCCTTACTCCAGAACACTCTGTTGCTAGCACTTTTCCATGGGCAGGTGATGGGTGCAGGATAAAATGATTTCCCCTGATTTGGCACAGAATATCCATCCACATGGTAATAGATTTGGCAGGACTTGCATTTCAGAACACCTCTCTGGCCTGGAATGGGTCCAGTTAGGTGGTAGAGAGTAATTGGAACTCTTGCAGTTGGATATAAAGTTTCTTCACACTGCAGACACTCAGTCACTGGGGGATTGATGAAGGCCAAGAATGGTTCCTTGTGGTGCCAGGAAGCCTGCCAAAGTATTGTTGAGATATCTTGTTCATTGTCCTTGTAAAACTTCATAAGGCTGTGGCATCGTTGAAAGACTGGTATGAACTGCATCACGGTCTCAGGTGTCAAGGTGTTGAACTCTGGAGAGGCCTTACAAATGTTCATAATAAGGGTGTTTCTGTCAAGAAAGTTCTCTGGCACATGGTTGATGGCTGCAGCAAGAATTGCCATTTGAACGGGCGATAAAGATAAGGAGAGTACATTCACAGTGTCCTCCTCATTCTCCAGGGGTAGAAGGTGAAGTTTCCCCACAATGTTCAATTTCACACTGGTGATGCTTTGGACAAGGTGTTCCCTCTCCTCCTTTTGGCTTATCAGGACCTCAATCCTCTTGGATGGCGTGTCTGGTTCTCTGTGGAGAGCTTTTTTGGATTTGGCAGGAGTTCTGCTACCCACATCCCTCAGTGTGCGCCGTTTCCTGGGGGTATCTATATCATAATAATAAACAAAGTTGTGTACATGAAAATAAGCAGGAAGTACAACTATACCATTTCGGAAAGAACTAGAAAACAGACCAGTTAGCAAGGGGCCGCCCCACCAAAAGCAGAGATATTTAAGGATTTATTGTACAGAAATGATGGTTACACTTTTTTTATAAAACATATTTTATTGACAAGGCCCATGGGCCACAGAGTTAGGTCATAATAAATCTGATTGACCAAAACCAAAAAAATTAATATCTCTCAAATTTGGCTATTTTGTTTCAATTTCCTTTATAATTGTTAACAAACATTAATTCTCCCCAGTTGTGACAGTTATATGAAAATAGTAACCTCATTTTAAAAATAATATTAAAAAATAATTAATTATGTGTTTTATTTTCATACCTATTTATTAACGAAATTTAATTTCTAAATGTTTTTCTTTTGCATATATTTTATATGGTATTTATGTGATGCATTCATGAACAGCAAAAATTTTTTTACAAAAAAAAAAAAAAAACATCTACCGGAAATTTGGATGAAAATTAATTTTTTCTTTATTTTCTTTAAAAAAAATACAACAAACAAACAAACAAAAAAAAAAAAAAAACCATATAAAATAATAAAGAGCAAATGTCAGATTCTCAATGCCGAAACCATTGATTAAAAAGGTTGACTCAGAGATCTATAAAATTAACATTTTATGTGTTATTCCTCCTTAAATGCCAGTTTTTGGTGAGTGCAAAATAATGCCACACTTGAATTTTAAAAGTAGCATAGTTGCAGGTAAGGGTTCTTAATAACTTTATATTGACAGATATTTTAGATAGGCAATTAATCAAGCAAAATAATTAATCCCACTGGATTACTTATATTTCCTAATCCTTTTCTCCTCAATATGAATGTCTTTTCAGAAATGTGGAATGAGATAAAATGCATGAGGTAACTTAATATTATCTCACCACTAGTCTGTTTGAATAAAAAATAAGTAACAATAAAATATAATCTAAAGATATACTTTCTAAGAAACCGAATTTGAACAGAAATGGTCAACAACTCAAAAAAGATTTTAGAAATATGTGTATAACAAATTTGTTTGAAGAAAAAAGACTGACAGGCAGACAGACACATCATATTCAAATCTTAGAGCAATCCAGTATTAATGGATTTCATACTTCATTTGATATCAATTGATATGTCCGATTTATACAAAACCAAATTTCTATTTCAAATTTCCCAAGGTAGTTCGGAAAATTCATATACTCAGCATATACTTACAGGCAGTCTATTAGTTAGAATGAATGCAATGCATAATATCTCTGTATCCATATTGGATGTTTTATGTCAGATCAAAAAGTAAAATAGGAGGTCACAATGGCAATATGTAATGAAAATTCTTTGAAAGTATCATTAAATTTCCTTCAGTGGTATGAGAGGAGTTGCGGATAAGAGATGAGGACCCCAAAGCGTAACAGACGGACAGATGTACAGACGAACGGATGGTCATACCGATTACTATATACCCTCCCGCTTTTCAGGCAAGGGGTATAAAGATGATATAGGCCTAAAAAAGTAAAGAAGTAAATTCTTAAAAAATTATCTCAAGCTAGTTTTAAAAAAGAAATATTAAGAAGAAAGCTTTAGATTTACAAAGGCAATTAAGAATTTTATGTCTGTGTATGTGCTTAAAAAACAAAACCCATTGATAGAATGAAAAGTGTTCATTTCGGAAATATATCGACACTAGAATTGATAAATATATACTACCTTACTTAATTATTCTTAAACACCCAAACTATTTTATTCCAATAATGAAAATGATAATTAGAAATTTATATGTGTGTGTATAATTAAAACAGGATCCATAAAAGTATGGAGCTTCCTTAAGGTAGGACAAATACCCAGGGTTTTTTCTAGGTCTTAAAAACAAGGGCCTGGGCCTTTCCAATTGGGAAAAATAGCGACATTTGGTTGATTTTGGGAAAAGTATCATATTTAATATTTTTTCTATATAAATTCAAATAAGAGGGTTTTTGTTTTATTTGCAAAGTATTTCTTTGACTTATTTTGCATTCAGTCAATCAGTTTTGGGAGAATGCCTTTTAGATTTTTATTTAGAACAATACTTTTGATAAAAATGTTACTGCGTTTGAACATTTTTTAATCAGTTTGTTTGTTTCGATTCTCTTTTGGGAATTTTCTACAATGAAATTGGGAAAAACACATACTTTTTACCATTGGGAATGGGGCCTTATACAGGCCCCCTACGACCCCTAAAAAAAAACCCCTGATACCATTGCCTTGCGTGTATTCTATTTAAGGTCAGATGACATGTTCCTCAAATATATGATTTGTATCTCTTGGTATTATATTAAAAATATTCATATATATCATTCTCTTTATTTTCAAATTATTTTTGAATGCAAGTACACCAAAAATGGTGATATGAGCTATTTAGAAGAATATCCATAAGGGTTATATAAGAAATGCCTGGTAAGGTACCCTAATTTTTTGTGAGGAATTCTGTTCAATTAAGTAGACTTTAATAACAAATTCATGGGAAAAATTAAAGTTTTGAGGAATGTGTCACCTTAAACCCATTTCTTAAAAAGTACTGGAGAAAAAAAGAATAAATATTATAACTATAATGATAATAAGTTTTGGCATGTTTGCATCATATTTTCAAATTAGAGAATAGTAAATATTGATCACTTGGGAGCTTACATTTTGGAATGTTTTTAAATCATTATCTTAAAGTGAAATAAACAAGTATGTTATAAAATTTAATAAACTTTTGTTCCATAGATAGTAGAGGTCTGATATTTTGACACAAATATATTAAAGCAATATCATTTTCTTCCTGTATTACAAACGTCATATTAAGGGGTAATAGAGGAAATATTGTGACATGCTCTTCTTTGCCATGTAAAATACTGGTAATTGAGAGTTTCAATGTCCACCTTTCAATGCTGGAACCATTGTTAAATAGAATTGAACAAGAGAATCTTAAGGTATGCAATCCCTGAAAGCTGAAATGAAATTTAATACATAACAGATATGTAGGCATTGAATATTCAGTTTATCTAGACATTCTTCCCATATATTACTATTAGTATGTATAGTGTAGTATAAAAAAAAAGCAATTAAAAAAAAATTTAGTTGGTAAAAAAATTTTTTTAAATTGTCATCATATTTTTAATGTTTCAATGCATTTTTCCACTGCAGGATTTGTTGATTTTCAGTTTTTATAATTTTTTATTGTGAAAAAAAAAACCCTTTTCCCTTTAGACTTCAATGCAATCTATTTTAATTAACTACTGCTTTATTAATGACATTTTTAAAACTTTCTTGCAGTCAATCCTTTTCTACTATAAAATGCTTTAATATAATATAGAGAGTATTATGTACTTTGGGGATATTTAAGCGAATTTGGTCCCATTAGGGATGGAAATCCTTATGGTCAAGATCTAATAAATAATATAGGCTAATTTTTGAGTCATAAATCGATTATGATGTAGCAAATTTTAATACATTTCCTTTTGTCAAATATGAAGAAAGAGTCCCATATTCATGACTGGTTTTCTTAATTTTTCATTGAAAAGGAGAGTTTAAAATACAGTTTTCTATTTTGTTTACCTATATTTTAATAACACCTTATTTGACCACGCTGAAGTTGTAAGCACCAAGAAAGGAATTCATCTATTGAATTTAATAAATATGTAGTATATAGACCTTTCATAAAAAAAAAAAATACTACATCTTGACCCTTAATCGCTAATTCTGAAATACCACAATTTTCTTCATTTTTATACGTTTCATTTATTATATTACAGAACCCATCTGAATCATTCTGTTAATTTTTGTAAAAATTTTATTATATATTTTTCCTTAGGAAAGCAATAAACTGTCAGATATTTACTTGTGAATTTTCAAGTCCAATGCAATGTATGTTCTATTTTTACTTCATAATTTACCGTAATTTTCATGTATCAATATGCCTTACTGATTTAAAGTAACAAAAGTGACAACTTTATTAAAAGTAATACACAGAGAACAAAACTCTATGAGGTTTTCATTTTCATTGAAATTTTAGTTTATTATGATATACTATGGGAAATATATTATTTTAGGTAAACTGCTTTGTAAGGGAATTCTTCCTACTCTAGGTCAACAATATTTGCTCAAACAATATTTATGCATATTGCTTTGCTGGTGTCTATCAGTCGGTAGGTCCGTCGGTCCATTTAGTTTCCATTCATTTTCTTCTTAACCATTGCACATACTGAAATGAAATTTGGTATACAGGTATATCAGATGAATATCTAGGTCAAATTTTATTTTGGGTACGATCACACCATAATTGACAGAGTTATGCCACTTGGACTAAGAAAATTTCCATATTTTTGCAGTTTCCGTTCATTTTCTTTGGAGAAGTTGCACATATTGTAATAGAATTAAGTATACAGGTATATCAGAAAAATTTCTAGGTCAAGTTCTGTTTTGGGTATAATTGCATGATTATTGACAGAGTTATACCCCTTGGACTTCGAAAAATTCCAATTATTTGCAGTTTCTGTTCATTTCCTCTGGAGAGGTTGCACATATTGAAATGGAATTAAGTATACAAATTAGTCAGATAAATATCTAGGTCAACTTATGTTTTGGGTATGATATCACACCATTTTTGACAGAGTTATGCCCCTTTGGACTTAAAGAAAGATACTAATTTGTGGGGGAGAGGGGGGGGTGCATAACGGTAAGTGTTTTACAAACATCTCTTGTTTTGGGGGTTTTTTTGGTTTGTTTTTGTTTGCTTTTTTTCAATGTTTACATGTACTTGTAATTGTACCTTGACCTTTTGGAGGGAAAAATCTAAGCATTTATGCCTGCTGTTTAATGTCCATTGCTAATTCTAAAATTAGGCCATTCTAAAGTCAGAATCTGATTATACAATCTTCTTGCAGAGCTGATAGGCCATATTTCAGACTGTTACCAAAAAAATTGTAGTTGCATTTCTTTCATATCATAACTAAAGAGAGATTTTGTATACTAGAACAAAATATCGAAGTCTCAGAAAAAATTGAATTAGAGGAAAAATTTAGTGTTTCTGTTGTGTGCTTCCTTGAAATTATTCCCATGAACTGTTAAGGTTTAATTATGCCATTTCTTCTTTCTTTGAAAAAAAAAAAAAGCAATAGTATGAATTAAAATCAAATAATCTCCTATTATTCAAATATAATATTCACAGATTTTAGAAGGAAGGTTTGATTCCTCTGAGACTAGACAAGAACTTCTTTCAATTATGTCCTTCTCAACAAATTCAAGTCATTTTAATTCTTAGTTGTCAT